GCCTCTCTCTTTCTTTCGTTCTCTCTCTCTATATCTCGCTCTCTCTCTCTCTGTCTCTCTCACGCCTCTCTCTTTCTTTCGTTCTCTCTCTCCCTCTCTTTATCTTATACTCCTCTCCAGCTTCTTCTTTTGTCTGTTTGTGTTTTGTTTATGTGTAGCCAGTGTAATAAAAACAAGTATAAGCTATTATTGTTGAATACTATTTACAATATTTATATTGTTTTATGTGTAAAATCAATAAATATTTATGTTAAGTGTAAAAGTGAGTAATACTAATAGTAATTTGTATAATAAAATGATATGCATGAATATGCATATGTGTAAAAATGGAAATTTGTGGATTATCCTGAATCACATTGCAGAAGTTTGTATGTATAATGAAAGTAAATACACGTACATACATACGAACATATATCCATACCAGAAGTAATTTACAATTACCAGAAGTACCAGAAGTAATCACAAATACCAGTTAATTACCAATTACCAGAAGTAATCACAAATTTACGATGATTTAATCTTGATACATACACTCATGTACGCCTGATAATATTTTGTGGCATTTCTTGTATCGATCGTTAGATGGCGCACACGACAATAAACATGGCGTTATTCAGTGTGAAAAAATAATTCGCGATATCCAAAACAAAACATTGCATCTCACTGTTTCTCGCGAGAATTTTAGACGGATGCACGGGATTTAAAATGGCCGGAGCCGGCGCGGAATATGAGGGACCCGAATATGGAATAGGGAACTTCGTCCTCCTAGATGAAGTATCGGAAGAAGGGTTCATGAAAAATTTGAAATTAAGGTAATATAATAACCCACGAACCATGTTTCTAATATTTACCATCGGCTTGTTTTCGTTTCAGTGTTTGGTTGGCATCATTGTCAAGTTTTGGTTCAATGTTTGGGCGTCGGCATTTAGGCCTACTTTAACTTAGTTGTGTACGATTTACATATAGATTATAGGCCCTACTGTGTGTATATAGTATTAGTATAATCGCGCAATGATATTCACTGTAGCCTCAAATAGTAGTTTTCGATTAATAGGTACACGTAATACGCGATTATGTGTGACGTCTGAGATAGCGGTGCTGCCACTGGCCCTGGGCACTAGTCACTATAGCTCTAGTACTATAGGCTATAGCCGCTTACATTAACTGCCGCTGGGCTATAGACCGACCCATGGGGCATGCAATGGACCAACTTACTCCAGCCAGTCAGCGGGAACTATGTATTTCCGCATGTGGAGGGGTGGGCGGGTTGTGTTGGTTGTGCCACTTGTGGACAAAAACATTGTTGTTGTCAAGTAACAAATTAATAATAGTAATTTGTTCATCTTCTGAGAAAACGTATATTACGAGAAATTTTTTGATCGCTTAATTTGTTACTTGAAACAACAACCATGTTTTGTCTCACACCAGTCCCAAATCCCCACACGTACCTCCACGGCGGCCGAAATACATAGTTCCGCTCACTTGGCACTGCTGCGTCTGCTCAGGCTGTGCGCAGCGCCGCCGAAAAGCCGTTTAGAATTCGCAAATGAATGTTCGTTCACCCCAGGAGAATACTGCATAGAGATACCTGCCATGTTCAAAGCGATAGTAGGATGGTTAATTTTAGTAGCTGATATAACTTAATGCATATTCCACTTTCGAAAGAGAAGCATTAATGCCGTACCACAGTGACGTTTTATATCGCGAATTAGCGCGACTAAGTTGTCTCGCATTTCCCAACATGGCTGGTTCTATAGCCCTAGAGCGGCTCGCAACATGTACGCGGCTATAGTGCTAGAGGCTACAGTAGCAGTAGGGTGTAAGATATATCCGGTATCGGTATAGTTGCAATTATACTTGAACAACTCGATACTATCGCTGATACAGCACTTCGCGGATATCGATTTTACGAACGGTGGTTATATGCAAGAATGAATATTACTTGACACTTGCCTTTAATGTTATATTGTTAATGGGGCTCGTAAAATATGTCAGCGTGGCGGTGTATATATATATATTTACGAAAAACACAATGCCTACACGACGCCATACAGTATTACTGTTCAAGCGAACACTCGCGTGGAGCACTGCGAGTACTACTGCGGCGTCGCCAGAGTGGCAGACTCTGAGCGTCAAGATACCGGCACGTCAGCCGAGTCTAATATTAGCCTATGCTCACGATGATCGAAGCTGCCCGCGCGGCAGCAGCCCGCCATCGCTAAGCGAAGGCCAGCACTGCCACTAGCACGTCAGTTCAGTTCAGTCTTAAGTTTCAGTATCCAGTATTATAGCTGCACAATTACGTGTCAGCCAGGCGTACTTGTGTATCCAGCCACGCGCGAGTGCCTGCGAGAGGTAAATTCAGTAGCATGCGGGTGACCTTGTTAGGGGGGGGGGACGTCGGCGACAGGACAGAGGGACTGCATCTCACAGGTAATGGAGCGGCAAATCCCACGGGAGGGACGCAGGGGAACAGTGTCGCCTGATGTACCTCCCGAATTTCCAAGGGGGACAAATTATAGTCAAATGTCCCGCCCCCTCGATTTTGATCAGCCAGGCTGATCGTCCGTGTGTGCGGTGTGCTGGCTTGGCGTAGCGATGTCGTGCGGTCGGCTGTGTGGTGTGTTTGTGAGTGAGGAACCGTTTTATTGGTGATTAGTTTGCGTCACAACGAAATTGTGGCTTCTTCCCTTTTTTTGCACAGTTTTCATTTCATTTAAGGCATTTGAGAAAGCATAATAATAATCATGCGCTACTTGAGAAATGATCGTTGATAAAATTTACGTCCGTTTCTTTTTAACTACGTTTTTTTTCATATTTAAATAATTCTTAATGCCAGAAATCATCCAGAGACAGATGTCTGGAAGTTTAAGGAGATATCGACTCACATTAAGACCTGATTCAAGCTGGGACACCAAGTACGAGCTATAGTTCATGCAGAAAGAGGGACACTTAGTAACCTGGGCATCGGTTTTTAATAATGTTAATTTCCATTTCAAATGATGTATATATCACGACATATATGAATGACTGACCAACCATATGCAACGGTACCAATTTCTATTTTGTGATCAGGCCTCAAGACCGAAACTTGATTGTTTTCTGCCTTTTGTTTTCTTGATTCTGTTATGACTGTCAATGGGACACCTCTTTCGAATCTATCACATCGCAACAAATGCCGTGTGTGTTGTTGGTGTGTGTGCGTTGCCGGTGCGGCGTGCGTGATGGGTGTGTGTTTCGTGGTGTCCAGTGGGATCGTGCACAGGAGCACCCCTGCTGCTGGCGCGCACCAAACGCATCTGAGGGGGTTGCTAATTCAAAAGTTCCGCCCTCACCTTCGGCGTGTGTTCTACTGGTGCCCCGCACAATCAAAATGGTTTGCCGCCCTTAGACTCTCATCTGCTCACTTGAAACATTGCCTGGTTGCTTCTGTTTCTCAAGAAAAGCATGAAGAAAAGTAAATCCATCGTATGATAACTAACATAATACTGTGAATATCAAAACAGCATCTAAATTGTTATGCCCTATAGTGACATGGATGGCTATCGCCACTTCCCATATTTTTGGAAATATTGCACATATCGGTTGTCTGTATTGCAAATATATTTTGCAATACGGTTTTTGGTCGGCAATTACTCACCCTCCCTAGTAGGCAGTACTACTAGTAGTACAGGGGTCGAAATTAGATTTTTATTATGGCATCCATTTGGAATACCAGGTATTAAAATCTGGTATCCCCCCCCCCAAAGATCTGGTATCCCATTTTTTGGATAGTAATTTCAACAATTTTGGTATCCAAAATCTTTAAATATGCAATAATAGCATTTGAAAATTATTAATATGTAATGTAATTATTATATGAAAACAGATTCACAGATATGCACAGACAAGTACACTGCAGATGTATTGTCTAGAGTCTACAATGTGATACAATGTAACATCACATTTATGATCAGATTGCCCGCACTCGCTCTTCGTGCACTCGCTCGGATGCGCTGCCGTAAAAAGTTGATAACTCAACAACCACTATCGTGATTTTGACGTTTTTGTTTATTACTATCCCGGCGGGATACCAAGCATTGAAATCTGGTATCCAACACAAGAATCTACTATCCCGCGGATTTCGGGATACCGCTAATTTCGACCCCTGTTAATAGTAGTACTACTACTACTACTACTACTACTACTACTACTACTACTACTACTACTACTAGTACTACTACTACTACTACTACTAGTACTACTACTACTACTACTACTACTACTACTACTACTACTACTACTACTACTAGTAGTAGTAGTAGTAGTAGTACTAGTAACTAGGCAGTACAATGTATTTGATCTATTAGTATTAGTACTGTTTCTTGGACCTATGTATTATTGGCACTATTTGCTATTGCATAATGGCATGCTATTTCTTCTAGCATGAGAGGTGGCGATACTAACTACTGTGCTGTGCTGGATGTTGATGGATGCTTGGCATGTACTACAAATACAATACTGTTACATTGTATGTTATATTCATTGTATCGATTGAATCTCGGCCAGACAAATATTGTAAAATCAAGGCCATTATTTGGTTATCAGACTAATTCTAGAAACTACCGACAACGCTAATTCTTTTATTGTGGTCTCGCAAACATGATTACAGCCCACTTCCTACCATAAGCGCTTTAATACAGTTCAATCTTGTCGAAATTTTTTATCATGGTGGATTTTGGACTGGTCGTTAGCCCTAAGTACTGCTTGTAATGATGGGTAGACATTGCGTGTTGTTATTATTTTCGTACACACTTACAGTGGTGTAAATTAGTAAATCAGCTGAACATAAAGTTTATTTAGTAATCATCTTTAGGTCATCTTTGTTGTAGAAAGTGTGTTAACAGGGTTTCTTCTGAGGGAAAATAGGACAAAGGAGGTAATGGCCAGTTTGAAAAAAACGCATGATGGATTCAAATACAGGATGTATTGATATACTTATACTAGATAGGTATATATAGATACAGGATATATACTTATCAGTAAATACAGGCACATTTTCACAACAGCGATGTTAAATTTGACAACGGCGGTGCGCCACTGTGCCTCTTATGTATGAGAAACCCTGATTAATTTGGTAACCGGACTCCCTGGATTGTGTATGCAGAGTTGGAAATTAACTTTTGAACAAGGGAGGCCAACGGAACTCCCTGCCCTCAAAAAGAGGGAGTCCGTAGAAAAATGAGGGAGTATGCAATCTGAAGTTCAAAACTAAAGCACAACAACAATGCATGTGCGTATTTTGAAGATTCATGCGATGCACGTCTGCCAATTTTTCTTTGGACATTTTGTGGGAAAAAATACGGTAATGAACTTGTTAGTAACTTAGTATAGCAGAATTTTCAGGGAGTCACAAGGACTCCTGCATATATGTCAAATCAAGGAGTCCGACAGTAAATCAGGGAGTATTTGACTCCGGACTCGCGTTAATTTTGCATCCTGTGTATGTTAGCCTCCTAGCACTGTTTCCCTCGATTCATATGTTCTATTTATAGTCACCCATGCTTAACCCAAGTTGTACATTGAATGACGTATGGACAGTAACGTAAGGTCAATGCAATTTCAAAAAAATACAACCTAGCACAACGGGCCATAGTTTTCAACAGAAATTGTATGTAACTTCTAGTTTTTATTATGGTTTAATAGCAATTTCTTGGCAGCAAGTATCTGTTACTGACGTTGAGAGCAAGCAGCCAACTGAGTTTAACTGACCCTTAATTTCGAACTCTGTAAATGGTGCATAAAGGTCTATGTTCCGAAGTCAGGAGTTTCTTGCTACGTGTAATACACAGACACAACAGAACTATGCAAACACAACATTAAAAAAAACACGAGAGCAATGTTGACTTGCTATTTTTAGACAGCCGCATGCATGTACACTCATGTAGATACCTCTCTTATAGTGTAGATTGATATGAGTAATTGTAAATCAAATTTCCAGGAAGTATTTAAAAGCATTCGTTTTTCTGAGCTAAGCTCAAATTTGATAAATTGCCCTTATCAGAGGTTGTTGTGAGTTGGTGCTTCTATTTACCAATAATTAATTTTACCACTTAGACCAATTTCCTGTATAGCATAGTATATTGTTATAATAATGATAAACGTAAGTGGTGGTTTGTCATAGAACTTTGGGATAGTTTGTTTCATAGGGCTCAGTATTCAATTTTGTATTAAATCTAAACAACTGCTGTAAACAGCACAATCAGTGTATATAGTTCAAATAGCCATTTGGTGTACAAAGTGAGTTTGAGACTAGAGTGTGGATGTAATAATGGTTGCAATTTCTATAGCTGTTGCTACAGTGCCAGTTAGTCACGGAATCAAACTAGCACAGCTTTGTAGGAGGCACTCCCCACTCGCGTGAGTCAGCCAGACATGACAACCAGCACCGTGTAAAGATGAAGTCATCATTATGTGCGTGCCTGCTCGCACATGTGTTCCGCACGTGCTGCGTTTTCACGGTCTACCCGTCAAAATAACAATGTTACCGTGAACCAGAAAAAACGTGCATAGAAAAAGTTGCCATTCCACTACTGAGGTAATTTTGAAGTACTTGAAAGCAGCTGGCCCGGCACTGGAAAGCAGCCGAAACATTACTGTAGTGACAGTGTAGTCTCTTATTATTAGACTTAGATTGTTGAACCTGTCATGCATTTATTACTCATAATAGGTCTACAGTTCTATTTATAGGTATCCATGTACTACTTGGCCAGTAAAACTGATTTGTCTCTAGGTTCACACACGTGGCATAGAGGGACTATAAGTCACAGACTTTGGAATGGTTTATTAGAACATAAACCAGGTCTTTTACTTCCAGGTATTGTCCTGTAGGAATTAGGGGTGTAACGATATACCGGTATATCG